ACACTTAATAACAATCTGTACGAATATTATTGACATATATCCTGCAGCCACTAAATGACCATGTCTACTGTGAAATAACATGTATCCGTCAGGGGTTAATTGCATAGTTTGACAATTAACCACAGACTAGTATTACTCCACAACCAGACTACTACGTAACCGGCCTACAGCTATGGACCGTTTGTATGGACCACTAGACTATATAAGATCTCTCATTTTGGACTTCAAGACACAATTCGATCACACCAGAATTCGTCAGATCTCGGCCAGTGTCTCAGTGAAAAACATTTATTTGAACTTTTAATCGCTCTTTGAATACTTGTAAATTAAGCAATAAATTCTAATTGACAAGTATTAGTTAACTTAATTGACTTCGCAACACATTTGGTCAACATTTGAATTTAAACTTAAACTTTTCCTTTATCATACATTGATTATATTATAGCTTATATTTCTATTTTCATTCGAATTAAACTGGAAACAAATAATTATGATATAAATTAAAAACCCGAGCATGACATCAATTACGTTTTGCGAACGTTGGGACAAAACGGCTATACTTTTTGAAACGATATAAAAATCTTGTTGCCAATCGAAAAAATGTTAAACACTATATTGTTTAAAAAGAAAAAGGAAAAAACTTTTACCGCCTAGTTTTATTTTCTATGATCTAACTATGTTTATTTAATATACAGCCGGTTAAAATCTCAATTGTAAAAAAAATACAGCGTTTTTTTCGTTGGGACAAGATGGCTATACTTTTTGAAGTCATTGCAATAGAAACTCTACGCATGGTTTCCGGCAAAAAAATATCATGAACCAGGAGAAAAGTAAAAAAACTTTCAAAATATCATAAATATTTTTCCTCTCAGCTTTTCCAATTTCACGGTATAAATGCGCAAACCCGATATATGCTTACCTTGCATATGCTTGGACATTTTTCAGACCGGTTTCAAAAATAACATTTTCCGGTTTACGATTTCAGTGATATTGATTTTGCTTTAACACGCGAATAACAATAACAATAGCAATACTCTTGTGAAGTTTTACGATGATCAGAAAAAAAATACCGTAGGAAAGAAACGGAACTCCGATCTTTTGCACACAAAATGTAACGTTGGACATTACGTTTTTGCGTAAAAATGGGATAATTAAGTGTTATAATTCTTGATATTTTAAATTTCGGTTCCTTTTTTTCTATATTTTCAAGTCTAATGTAATAGATTCAACCAGAAATCACTATATTTTTTATCGAACTGACCAGTCTACGTATTTATTTTCATGCTAATCTATAGCAAAATGGAATTGATACCAACATCGTGTGCAACGTCATGAAAGCTCGATAAAAATATGGAACATTCGTGTAGCATTGAATGCAATAGGTTTGCAAAAAGCGGAAAAATAACAATTAAAAATGTTAAGATTTCCAAAATTATAATTCTCGATTACTCAATTTTCACAGAAACGTCATGTTCAGTGCTTCATTTTTTTGAACAAAGAATACATAAGTCAGAATTGCGATTCAATATATCGTATTTTTTTTTCTCCAATCGTCGTTGAACTTGGATAGAATATTTCTTTTATTACACTTATTGTGTTGTTCATTCATAATCGATGTCACTGAAACCGAAAATGGCCAGTTTGGAAATGCTCTAAAAATTGTTTAAGAAATTGCACGGTACGCAAATATCCGGTTTATGAATTTATTTCTTAAAATGTGAAAAAAAACTGTGAGAAATAGTATTTATAATATGAATAAACATTACATGTATTCCTGGTTAATGGTATTTTCGAGTGGGAAACAGTAGTATTGTTACATCAGCAATGACATCAAAAAGTAGTCATCGTGTCACAACTGGAAAAAAAGGAAGATACATTTTCCTATCGAGATTTCGACCGGCTGTTTATCAAACAAGTTTGGTTTGATTCTAGATAATAAAGTTTAGTTTGGTAGTAAAAGAACACAAGTTTTTTTCTTTCAAACTTAGTATCTTATGAAGTGTTTAGTTAGGAAACAGGATTTTCAGATCATATCAAAATGTTAAGCCGTTTCGTCACAACGTCTGCAAAATGTAATTAATGTCATGCTAGTATTTTCAAACTTATCTTATATTATTTTATTATGATTATTTGTTCCAGTTCAATTCCAATAAACATGTAAAATTAAGTTATGATATAAGCCACGTACAGTTCTATTACAAGTTTTGAAGTGCTGATAAATGATCATTTAATCAATCAATCATTTTCGAGTACATTTTGTTATACTTTATGAACGTCGTCTATTTACAGGTTTCAAACAATCAAAAGAAAATTAGAATATCATTGTTAATTTAAAAAAAGAGGAACAAACCATTGCTAAATCATAACAAAAGCAAAGGGGTGTATAATGCAAACGGCACTTAAAAATATTCTACTAAATACAAAAATATAAGGGGGTAACTGGATTCGTTTTTAAATTAGTCTCGATAAGTTTTGAAAAAAAACACGTAAAAATGATAAAATTAATGAAGTCACGCTGAAAAATCGTATTTTTCATGCATCACATAAACTTAACAAAACAATGAAACAACTACAAGTTTTCGCCGTGTCTTACTTTATAGATCTATTTCATATTTTTTAATTGATTGTATCTATGAAAGTATACATGCTACATATATCATATTTTTAATATTGAGATGCAGTTCAACGAGTTCTAGATGCATATTTAATAAAAATATGAGATTCCGCCCAGTTACGTATACTTCGCCTTAACGTACACGTGCATACTGATAGATATTTCTGGATAGTCGTGTTTTAGTAGTTGTTTGATGATCTGGCTTATCATTGATTTGGAATTGCTATTTATTATATGATTTTAGCTTTTCCTCCACAGTTTTGTTTTCCTTTTTCGCATTTAAAGTTTATGATGAAAAATTAAAAAAAAGTGCACGGTCAAAACCAAAAAGTTGCTATTTAGTCGACAATTCCAATTTATAAATCCTTGACCGAAATATTTTAAAAACAAATCTATTTCTTTTTCATCCCGTTCAAATGTTTATTAGTTTTAAGGCTTTAAAGATCATCTTAGTTTTCCTATAATTAACAATTTTGAGAGTATATGATCGGATTGACACATAACAAAACAAAATCTTCTCAAGGAACATTACACATTGTATATATTCAAAATATAGCTGGTAAAACCACTTGTCCGCCCTGAGGATGAGACTAAAATCAAGTTAAGTGTAAAACACTAACACAAAACTCATGCTTCAATGATTTGTTGGTATTAAAGTGCCATACCAGACTGTGTCTTTGGGGTGTAAATATTTGATATACTTATGATATGGTAATCATTTTCCCCCGTGGCATGGATCCCACCTACCGGTGTTCAACACCCCGCATATTTAAGTTCTTACGGTTAATTAAGGATGCAAATCTTTAAAAGCAGACAGTGTACGAACCATGACTGTTTAGAAAAAAAAACATTATAGTAAAAGCTGAAACATCTTTTTAAATCAAAGTTTTTTTCTCCTCTTAGACACACGACCTCCTTATGATTTCTCCGTGTCTCTTACTTGTTTTTTTTTTCAAAGCTGCAGAACGAGAACTTCAAAGGAAGTAAGACTATATAGTAATATAAAAAAAATCATTGCACATATGAAAAATGATCTCTAATCATATCTTTTTCTCAATTCATGGGAAAAAGTGGAGGATTGATAATGATAATAATAGAGGATTGGATATTGTGTAATCGCTATTTGATGCCTAATTAATTGAGACAAAACAGTTGTTAGATCTTATATTACGGTAGTTTTGTTCGCAAGTTATCTGAAGTAAAATTAACAGTATCAGTACAGTGTAGATAGTCAAATCAATTTGGTAAGAGAATATATAAATAAATGGTCAGGGTCAGAAAGATTCCAGGTGCAATGCCAATATTAAATCAAAGGGCATTGTCTAAGGTTGAGAAAAATCCGAAGAACCCATCCTAAGTGTTAAAACGATAGCTATAAAATTGTTTTGTGTGACTCTAAATGGAATTTAGTGTCATGGGAAAGCTTATAAAAATCAACTATAGACCCAATTAAAAAGAGAAAATGATACAGCTTAAACATGGAGGTCCTCGTTCGTTGACATGGCAAATTACATGTATCATAGTTACAGAGGGTGAGTTAAAACATGTTTACACCATTATTCTCGCTCATAAATAACAGCCAGGAAAAAAAACTTTGTTTATCTACACCCTCTGTCTCACTAAACTAATTAGAAGAAGATTTTTATCCTTTGACAAGAGATGAAGCTCGTTACGTTTGGTGTTAGAATTCTTTTATCTTGTATGCACGCCCCTTTGTACAATGGGACATTTTCTCAAGATACTAATTAAAGGTTTGAGTATTATTTATCATAAAGTGTGTAATGTTGAGAATATAATAAAACAAAATGTTGTCATTGATATTCTAGATAAAAAGCATTCCTATTTGTAATTGCTTTAAATATGTTTTGTACTGAACTGTTTTGTGTTAACATAAAGGATACCGTGACGATTTGTAATTTTCTTCTCTCCGTTTTCATAACATGTCAACTCTATTACAGAACGTCTATAGGACGCTTGTACATTAGTCTTTTGAGTAATCATTTTGATTTATACCTTGTTTTCAAATTATAATAATATTTTCATTTTGAGAAAACTCGTTTAAATTCAGAACAATACGAGAAATTCGTTATTCATTTTTTTCTACCTTTTCAGTCATTTTTAACTAAAGCCCATTCTGTTAGACAATTATAGGGAAAATTTCATGTAAATTTTAAAAATCAAAATATATTGTATTTAAGTTTTATTTGCCTTATCCGGTCTTACATTTGTTCTATCGTCGCTGTTACAAACGTGTAAGTCAAAAATAAAGTAAAAGTAGTATGAATGGTTCATGCTTTTCCCTTTACGACACATGCTAATGGGTGTTTTAAGACCATTATTTTTGTAATTACAATACAATTTACATGTTATTTATATTTAGACTTACTTCTTTTTGTCCTTTCTTCTGAATAAACTGTACTATAAAGCATCAGATTAAAAGTCAATAAAATCCTTAGAATCATGATATTTTAACTATAAACGTCCACATTTTTTGTCACATTTCGTTTGTATAAATACAAATAATTAAAATTTAAAATATTTTCCAACAACTAATCCCTTTTTATCAGACGTGAAGTGATAATTTAGAAATATTCCATTATAACTATAACCTTAAAAATATATATATTTTTTCCTTTTCATTTTTCGGAGAAAATTGTTGAATGAATTTATTAATCCAAAATTTTAAAAACATTAGCATGAAAGATACAAATAGATTGCAGGTTCTTTACAAACTCCGCCTACCTCACACCTCGTGACTGTAGAAGAAGCTACGTATGTCTGCTCATTTTCAAATTAAAGGTCGCCTATAACATCTACGTGTTGTATCGTAAGGGAAAGATCTTGCCAAAAACTTTCACTGCATTTTATATACTTCACTAGCTGATAATCAAATATACGACTTAATTACAGTCTATTTTGAACAACAACTTGCACATATCCCGAATTGAAAAATAACAATGAAGATATTTCAGATTCCTTTGAAGTGCTGTCTGGGTTTTGTTTCATTATATATCCTTTCGACAATTTTCAGGATGAAAGAATCATATTTATTTCAAACCTGATGCGGATGCTCAGAATAACTAAGCAAGGAATTAACAAAAGCTAATATATATATATATATATATTGAAGTTTCTGCGAACCTGTTTAACTACTAGTATTTATTTCATCTTGATTAGAGGTCATTCAATGTTATAAAAAATTGCATATTCCATAATCAAATACTCCTTATATAGATTGTCTAAAATAAGTTGATGAAAAGTTTACAAAAATATAGTGACAGGTTGCACATATACTAATTATTTTGAGATTCAGTCCTGGTTTTCAATAATTCATATAACTTTTTGTATATATCAATTTGTGACCGTTTTATACCTGCTTTTACGTTACTTGATATGCAAGCGCTGATTATTCCTATATCAGAGCTGGTTGGGCTACTTGTGTTGTTTGCTGTTTATATGTAGTCACATAATTATGTTAGAATGCTGATTTTGTTTGTTGTTTATCCACACATATGTACTTGTTCACATCTTTGTCGTTTTGTCATTATGGATAGTTGTATCATTCATGGGAATCATACAACATATATAACTCTGGTGTTGTTTGCTGCTATCCTTATATATAGTTGAATGCTGGGGATGTTTGCTATTACCCTTTCATATGGTTGAATGCTAAGAATGTTTGCTGCTATCCTCACATATGGTTGAATGCTAAGAATGTTTGCTGCTATCCTCACATATGGTTGAATGCTAAGAATGTTAGCTGCTATCCTCACATATGGTTGAATGCTAGGAATGTTTGCTGCTATCCTCACACATGGTTGAATGCTGGGAATGTTTGCTGCTATCCTCACATATGGTTGAATGCTGGGAATGTTTGCTGCTATCCTCACATATGGTTGAATGATAGCAATATTTGCTGCTATCATCACATATCGCAGAGTGCTAGCGATGTTTGCTGCTATACTCACATATGGTTGAATGTTGGGAATGATTGCTGCTATCCTCACATATGGTAGAGTGCTGGGGATGTTAGATGTTACCCTTACATATGGTTTCAAGAATGCTGGGAATGTTTGCTGTTATCCTTACATATGGTTGAATGCTGGGAATGTTTGCTGCTATCCTCACATATGGTAGAGTGCTGGGGATGTTAGCTGTTACCCTTACATATGGTTTCAAGAATGCTGGGAATGTTTGCTGTTATCCTTACATATGGTTGAATGCTAGGAATGTTTGCTGCTATCCTCACATATGGTAGAGTGCTGTGGATGTTTCCTGTTATCCTTACAAATGGTTGAATGCTAGGAATGTTTGCTGTTATCCTTACATATGGTTGAATGCTGGGGATGTTTGCTGTTATCCTCACATATGGTAGAATGCTGGGGATGTTTGCTGTTATCCTTACATATGGTAGAGTGCTGGGGTTGTTTGCTGTTATTATTACACATTGTAGAATGCTGGGGATGTTTCCTGTTATTCTTATATATAGCAGATGGCTGGGGTTGTTTGCTGTTATTATTACACATTGTAGAATGCTGGGGATGTTTCCTGTTATTCTTATATTTAGCAGATGGCTGGGGATGTTTGCTGTTATTATAACATATGGTAGAATGCTGGGGATGTTTCCTGTTATTCTTATATATAGCAGAGGACTGGGGATGTTTGCTGTTATCCTTATATATGTTAGAAGACTTGAATGTTTGCTTGTATCCTTACATGTTGTAGAGTGCTGGGCATATTTGCTGTTATCCTCACATGTGTGAGATCTCCGGGTATGTTTGCTGTATATACTCACATATGATTGAGTGCTGAGAATGTTTGCTGTTTATTCTCACTTATGAGAGAGGGCTTGATATGTTTGCTGTTATCCTTTCATATGGTAGAGACTGGGGATGTTTGCTGTTATCTTACAAATGGTAGAGTGATTGGGATGTTTGCTGTTATTCTTACATAAGATAGAGTGCTGGGGATGTTTGCTGTTATTTTTACAAATGGTAGAGTGCTGGGTATGTTTGCTGTTATCCTCACATATCGTAGAGGGCTGAGGATTTTTGCTGTTTACCTTACATGTGGCTGAATGCAGGGAATGTTTGCTGCTATCCTCACATATGGTTGAATGATAGCAATATTTGCTGCTATCCTCACATATGGCAGAGTGCTAGCAATGTTTGCTGCTATCCTCACATATGGTTGAATGCTGGGAATGTTTGCTGCTATCCTCACATATGGTTGAATGCTGGGAATGTTTGCTGCTATCCTCACTTATGGTAGAGTGCTGGGGATGTTAGATGTTACCCTTACATAGGGTTTCAAGAATGCTGGGAGTGTTTGATGTTATCCTTACATATGGTTGAATGCTGGGAATGTTTGCTGCTATCCTCACATATGGTAGAGTGTTGGGGATGTTAGCTGTTACCCTTACATATGGTTTCAAGAATGCTGGGAATGTTTGCTGTTGTCCTTACATATGGTTGAATGCTAGGAATGTTTGCTGCTATCCTCACATATGGTAGACTGCAGTGGATGTTTACTGTTATCCTTACATATGGTAGAGTGCTGGGGTGGTTTGCTGTTATTATTACATATGGTAGAATGCTGGGGATGTTTCCTGTTATTCTTATATATAGCAGAGGGCTGGGGATGTTTGCTGTTATCCTTATATATGTTAGAAGGCTTGAATGTTTGCTGTTATCCTTACATGTTGTAGAGTACTGGGCATATTTGCTGTTATCCTCACATGTGTTAGATCGCTGGGTATGTTTGCTGTATATACTCACATATGATTGAGTGCTGAGAATGTTCAGTGTTTATCCTCACTTATGAGAGAGGGCTTGATATGTTTGCTGTTATCCTTTCATATGGTAGAGACTGGGGATGTTTGCTGTTATCTTACAAATGGTAGAGTGCTGGGTATGTTTGCTGCTATCCTCACATATGGTAGAGGGCTGGGGATTTTTGCTGTTTACCTTACATGTGGTTAAGTGTTGGTGTTGTTTGGTGTTATCCTCATATGTGTTTGAGGGCTGTGGATGTTTGCTGTTTAACCACAAATATGATAAAAAGCTAGGGTGTTTGCTGTTATCCTTACATATGGTACTGCTGGATATGTTTGCTGTTAGCCTTACAAATGGTAGAGTGCTGTGGATATTTGCTGTTATCTTACAAATGGTAGAGTGCTGAAGTCCTTATATATGGTAGTGCTGGGTATGTTTGCTGTTACCCTTACAAATGGTAGAGTGCTGTGGATATTTGCTTTTATCATCTTGATATGTTCTTATAAATGATAGAGTTCTGGGGAAGTTTGCTGTTATGCTGTAACTTTACAAATTGTAGGGTGTTGGGAATGTTTACTGTTATCCTTACATATGGTTGAATGCTGGGGATGATTGCTGATTATCCTTATATATGGTATAGTGCTGGGGATGTTCGCTGTTGTCTTTACATACAACAGAGGGCTGGGGATGTTTGCTGTTTATCTTCACATATGGTAGAGTGCTGAAGATGTTTGCTGTTATCCATTCATATGGTAGAATGCTGGGGACGTTTGCTGTTATCTTACAAATTGTAGATTGCTGGGGATGTTTGCTGTAACCCTTATATATAGTAGAATATAGAGAATGGTTGCTGTTATCTTAAAAATTGTAGAGTGCTAGGAATGATTGCTGTATCCTTACATAGGATAGAATGCGTGGTATGTTTGCTGTTATCCTTACAAATGGTAGAGTTCTGATGATGTTTGATGTAATCCTTACATATGGTAATGTGTTCGGGATGTGTGTTGTTATCCTTACATACGGTAGAGGGCTGGGATGTTTGCTGCTATCCTCACAAATTGTAGATGCTGTGGATGTTTGCTGTTATCTTACAAATTGTAGAGTGCTGGTGATGTTTGCTGTCATCCTTGCATATGATAGAATACAGAGGATGTTTGCTGTTATCCATAAAAATGATAGATGGCTAAGGATTTTTGCTGTTATCTTAAAAATTGTAGATTGCCAGGGATGTTTGCTGTTACTATTACATATGGTAGAGTGCTTGGGATGTTTGTTGTTATTCTTACATGTGGTAGAGAGCTGGGGATATTTGCTGTCACCCTTACAAATGGTAGAGTGCTGGGGATGTTTTATGTAATCCTTACATATCGTAAAGGGCTAGGGATGTTTGCTGTTATCTTACAAATTGTAGAGTGCTGGGGATGTTTGATGTAATCTTTACATATGATAAAGTGCTGGGGATGTTTGCTGTTATCTTACAAATTGTAGAGTGCTGGGGATGTTTGCTGTCATCCTTGCATATAATAGAATACAGAGGATGTTTGCTGTTATCCATACAAATGATAGAGGGCTAAGGATGTTTGCTGTTATCTTAAAAATTGTAGAGTGCTAGGGTTGTTTGCTGTTATCCTTACATATGGTAGAGTGCTTGGGATGTTTATTGTTATTCTTACATATGGTAAAGTGTTGATGTTGTTTGCTGTTATCCTTACATGTGGTAGAGAGCTAGGGATATCTGCTGTTATCCTTACAAATGGTAGAGTGCTGGGGATGTTTGATGTAATCTTTACATATAGTAAAGTGTTGGGGATGTTTGCTGTTATCTTACAAATTGTAAAGTGCTGGGGATGTTTGATGTAATCTTTACATATGATAAAGTGCTGGGGATGTTTGCTGTTATCTTACAAATTGTAGAGTGCTGGGGATGTTTGCTGTCATCCTTGCATATAATAGAATACAGAG